CCCCCCCCCCCCCCCCCCCCCCAGTATGTGTGTGTATACACACACACAGCTACACGCACACACGCACAGCTACACACACGCACGCACAGCTACACACACACAGCTACACACACACACAGGTACACACACACACGTACACACACGCACAGGTGCACACACACACGCACAGCTACACACACACACGCACAGGTGCACACACGCACAGGTGCACACACGCACAGGTGCACACACGCACAGGTGCACACACGCACAGGTGCACACACGCACAGGTGCACACACACACGCACAGCTACACACACGCACACACAGCTACACACACACGTACACACACGCACACACAGCTACACACACACGTACACACACGCACAGGTGCACACACACACGCACAGCTACACACACACGCACAGCTACACACACACACACAGCTACACACACACAGCTACACACACACACGCACAGGTACACACACACACACGTACACACACGCACAGGTGCACACACACACGCACAGCTACACACACGCACACACAGCTACACACACACGTACACACACGCACACACAGCTACACACACACGTACACACACGCACAGGTGCACACACACACGCACAGCTACACACACACGCACAGCTACACACACACACAGCTACACACACACAGCTACACACACACACGCACAGGTACACACACACACACGTACACACACGCACAGGTGCACACACACACGCACAGCTACACACACGCACACACAGCTACACACACACGTACACACACGCACACACAGCTACACACACACGTACACACACGCACAGGTGCACACACACACGCACAGCTACACACACACGCACAGCTACACACACACACAGCTACACACACACACGCACAGGTACACACACACACACGTACACACACGCACAGGTGCACACACATACACACGCGTGCTAATTGCTCTGTCCGCCCGTGTTTGCCGACAACCGGCGGCCGCTCGCTCCCATCCTGGAGACGGCGCCTCGCAGGTCGGCACTCACGCACGGACGCGTCGCCAAACACAGCTGCCGCTACTGCCGCTACTGCTGCCGCTACTGCTGCTGCTACAGCTGCTGCCGCCGCTGACGCCGCTGACAGCCGAGTAAACACGGCTTTTAAACGCACGCACATGCGCACCTACGCACACACATACGTACATGCATACACACGTACATATACATACGTACACGCACGTACACACCCGTGCAT